AAAAGAAAGAAATATATAATGGAAACAAATAATTGTTGCATCTAAAAGAATAAAAAAAACATATCCAGGATAAAAAAATATATAATGTATATTAAGAAAAAATATAGAAAAATTTAAAACAAACAGTTCATTATATTGATTTATGTCGCAAATACTAGTTGAAAATACCCACTTGAGAGTTAGTAGTTTTTTTTATTTTTCTTTTCTCTGTCGTGCCTAAATGAGAGCAAATTCATATTATTGGCGTCTAAAAATGTCGAGATTATCAAATTACCAAGTTTAAAAAAATTAATTAAATCAACATAGAATTTAAAATGTATTATATTAAATAAAACTTGACAAATTTCGAAAATCCCGATCAGTTCTGCCTTTCAAGATTTTATTGAGATGTAACACCATGTGATTGAAGTTTTTCATTTGGGTGATTAGCCAATTTGTTGAGTCAATTATATGAAATTATAAAGAGCAACTTTCACATATAGCAAACATAAAAATCATATTTATATGTTATAGCTATAGTTTGTATAATTGAGCTTCATAGCAAATTTTATGTTTGCTATGGATCATCAGATTGTATAACTCGTTGGCAAAAGTTTTAGATTTGTATAATTTCACTGGCAGACCATTTATATAAATCGTTGGAAGCCTCTCGTTTGTATAAATCACTGGCAGTCTCTCAATTCAATTTTATGTATGTTTGTATATCTGCATAAAATTTGAATTTGTATACAATTGAATTGAAATAAAACATTTGTATATCAAATCTCTCTCTCTTGCTTTATACAACACAAATTATACATTGTAATTTGTATAATCTGTGTTTGTATAAAGCGAGAAAGAGAGAAAGGTAAAAGAGAACTGGGCAGGAGAAGATATGTATTTGTATAATTATAAGTGTATAAGATGAAAATATATGTATTTGTATTTGTATATACAATTTTCTCTCGCTTTATACAAACACAAACATATTTTATACATTTGTGTTTGTATAAAAGCGAGAGAGGCGAGGGAGAGAATGGCGAGCGAGAAACCTAGGGACAGAGGCAAATATCAATTATTTACTATGAATTACAATTAAATCAAATTATGATTATAACATTTAATTTGAATTACTAATTTGTTATTTTATACAATTTTCCCAATTATAATCACACTCTTTGAAAGTTAAGTCAAAGGCACGCCGTAAAATAGTTTGGAAATTCTCAATGAAAAAATATCAAATCAAGGCCCAATTTCCCAAAAGACCAAGAAAGTATAGGGCATGTTTGGAAAGTCATCCTAGTAATTGAATTTGGTGTAATTGATGTAATTACATTGTTTGTCCTATTTGGTTGGACATGTAATTACTTGATTGACAGGTAATTGGTGTAATTGATAGGGATAATTACACTCTCCAATTCACAGGGAGAGGTTGTGAATTGCTGGTAATTACATTTTAATTTCTTCTTTTTATTTCTATTTTTTTTTTTTTGTTTTAATTTTTTTTTTTTTTTAAGTTCTTTTTTTTATTATTATTCTAAAAATTTCTAAAAGTTTATTTTTTATTATTTATCATTTCATTTTCTTCTCATTCTCAATCTTACTTCATGTGATTCTATGCAATTTTTTCGTATTATCTATTTCTTTATGTCATGCTTATTTTCTCATTAGCATAATTTTATTAGTGTTCTGATTTTTAAATTAAAATAAAATTTATTTTTAAGTAAGGTTATAGACTTACCTTTTTTTTAAAAAAAAAAATTCATATTTATGTATGTTATGTTGAAATTTGCGGTAAGAGTATTATGTTAAATTTTTTGTTTTGAATTTATAACTTATGTCATATTTTCAGTTTCATTTGTTTTCTTAATATTGAATGTACATTGCAAGTCATTTTTAATTAAATTATCTTTTTGTCAAACATTTTAATAATTTATGACATTTTATTTATATATTAATCTTTTTATCAAACATGCATTTCACGATGTTCGTAGAAACTTCATACTTTTAGTTTTTATGATCAATTCAATTGAAATATATTAATTTGAATAAATATAAATCAATTATTTTTTCATAATCTTAGTTAAGAACATATGTTTATTAATTAATATATATCTTAAATATTTAATTTAATATCGTTTTTAAAGTTTCTTATTTGTCTAGTATAAATTTTAAATAATTAATTTTTATTTTTAAAAATTAATATAATTTTATGATTGCAATTGTGTATCAAAAGTCCAAACAGAACATGTGTAATTACATTGTGGCATCCAAACAGGATATGTGTAATTACACTGAGGCAAACAAACAGGTTAGTGTAATTACTAGACTGGTAATAGTAATTACACCAATTCCAATTACCAGGTGGCTTTCCAAACAGATCCTAATCAAAATTTTCTCTTCAAATCATTTCATGTTCGTTAAGAAATTACTTGAGTTTACTATTGTATCTTTATTTAACATTCTTTTAAAATCAAACTTTCAATAAATAAATATAAATTAATTTATTCTGATTAATTAAATTAACCAATGAACATGAGTTAATCATTTTGATTTACCTATGTTAGTCAAATCATATTTTCAAGATTAATACTCTCAAGGGTAAAATAGGAAGATAGTGTCATTTATGCATTGATTTTGTAAAATGACAAATATTTTCTCTGTTCTTTTTTACTTGTCACTATTTGACTTGACACGCTCATTAAGAAAATAATTATTGATATTGATAGTTTACCAAATTATCCCTATTAAATAACTTTTAGTGTTATGTCTTGAAAAATGATTTGGAGAATAAATATTTAATGTTGAGGATAAACCTTGAAAAAATTAATTATCTTTTCTTGATATGTAAAAAGTATCAATAAAAATACAAATTTATTTTAGAACTAAATGACAAATAAAAATAATCAAAGAAAGTATTGAAGACCAACTATTTTTAGTAAGAACGAGATAAATAAATAGAAACTAAGGCAGCATTTGAAAATATTGAAAATATGAGAAAGGTTAGTAATTTAGTTGGTGAATTACATAATTTTAGATTGTTGGTAGGTAAGATTTTGATTCTCTATTCTGTAATTCCCTGTTAGTTAGCGTTTGGCCATAGATTTTCAAATATTCTTGGCAAATATTATTTGGGTAAAAATTTGGGTGAAATTTCACCATGTGTTTGGTCATAGTATTTGGGAAATATATTTCACTTTAAAAAAAAAAAATGATTTATACCCATAAGTTTAAAAACTATCAAAACTAACCATAAATTTGTATTACAAGTCAATTGAATTTTCGTTGCAACAAATAACAAGTAGTGTCCATAACACTACAGCAATGTGGTAGTTTGGAGTGAGTGCAACAAGCATCATTCCGTACATCGTGAAGTAGCGACAAAACACATGACTTTGCTACCATGACCCGATTGTTCATCATTTTCATCAATAACCATATAATCACTTGTCATATTCACTGAATATTTCATCACTACTTTGGTGTTCACGTAAAAAATTATGTAATACAACGTAAACATTATTATGGAGGGTGTTTTTGTAAAAGATAAAAGTTTGGTGTAAAATTTCAATTTTCAAAAGATCCCAAATAATGAGATTTGGCCCAAATACTAGAAAAAACTAGTATTTGGAAATTTGGGATATTTGCCAAAAATATTTGCCAAATAATAGCAAATTGTATGGGCAAACACTATTTGCCAAATTTCCTCCCAAATATTATTTGGGAAATCTATGGCCAAACGGGCCCTATTTCTCATTCGTTTACTTGCAATTTCTTTTCTTTTTCCTTTTTCTAAAAAGGACATTTTCCAAATTTTAATGTGGAATGAAATATATTTTCTGAATCAATAATAATTATGGACATAAGAGAAGTGACGGGACACTTTCTTTTGGTAAAATAAAAAAGATTAGGAAGATTTATCTATTTTTTTTGTTTTTTTTTTAGTTTTTCTCTCATCTGTTTTATTTATCTTACGTTTAAAATTATAGTTGCGTAATGCACACTTCTTAATTTTTATAACTCACATCTTTTATGTTTATAGCCTCTAAATATTTAATTTATAAGTTATTTTTATCTTCATAACCAATATTTTACTCCCTCCCTTCCAAATTGATTGTTTGACTTGACATAGAGTTTAAAAAAATAAAGAAACTCTTATATTTTGTTGTCTTAAACTAAAACATGTTGAATGTATCAAAATATTCTTTTTGATATATGAAAAGTTAAAAGTTAAAAATTGATGAAAAAAAAGACATTCTTAATTAAACAGATTTTAAAAAGTTAAATAAATTAAAAATAAAATAAAGAGAGTGATAATCATTATGATAAATGCTTGTCGTGGTTCCATAGCGTGCCTCGTATGCATAGCAATGAAAAGTCTAAAATGTGGTGTCACTATTTTTGAAGCCATTATTGATTTTTTTTGAAACTGAGAGGACAAATGTTGTTGGTGAGGATCGAACTTGCGCTCTGTCACTCCACATGCACGCTACTTTTTCAGCCCCAAGAACCACCGGGATGAGATAGATTTTTTATTCTGCTTAACTGGATGAAATAATCGAATATATATTTTCCAATGGACATATTTAAATTCCAATAAACAATAAAGTGAATAAAGTATGCTATCTAAATAAAGTATCAAGAAAAATAAACTTTACAGTAAAAAAATAAAATAATAGAACCTAATTCAATGCTTGCTATCCCCAAAAAGAATAGATCAATAATTTTTCTCCAACTTGCTTTTGTTAGTTTGCATAATATTTACAAGAAGAAAATATGTTAAACGAAACATCTTTTATCAAATCAAAATTTAAAAATTGTCTTCCCTTTGCACTGAAACAAGATGAGACCCCAAAAAATTGGATGCTTTATACCAAATAAAATTAATTCCTTATATATATTATCTGCCCTCCATATTATAAATGATGGACATTAATGTTACATTCATATCAAACTTATAGTTTATGACATAAAAAATACTCATGTCTGATATTAAATTACACCATTTGGATCATTAAGCTCTATGGTTTCTTTTCTGGCAAATCGACATATCCAGCATCAACGCGATCCTCCAACACAGTCTTTCTCCTCTTTGATTCTTCATAACTTTGAATGTAACGGCTCGCGAAGAAATGGAAGTATATGAAGTTTAGTACTCCCAATCCAGCAATAAGAAGGTAAAAACGTTCTAGCTTGTTTTCATTAAGGTCATGACCTCCCAACCACCGCTTTCCGCTGTTTAGCCTGCTTAAAATCTCAACCAAATTGACAATGAGTGTGTTGAGGTAACTAGCAATGCTTAGGCTCAAGAAGAAAATTGCTCCAGCTACACTTCTCATTGTCTCTGGTACTTGGTTATTCAAGAATTCCATGACGGAGACTGCAGCAAATGCTTCTGTCAAACCTGATAAGATGAATTGAGGCAAAAAGTATGCAATGCCAAGTGGAGATAGGAATGTGCCTTGTTTCAGGGCTAAGTCGCGGCGTCTTGTTTCAACTAATGCAGCTACTGATAAGCAAAGAATAGCCATGATGATACCTATTTTGATTCTTATTTGGAGGGACAATCTAGCTTCTTTCTTAGAGATTTTCGATGCATTGGGAACGTATACACATTCGTAGATGAAGATCCATATAGCCAGGGCAATCATGGATGCTAGTCCCATCCACCCAGGAGGAATCATGAAATTCCCAACTTTAGTGTTGGATTGAATTACTTGAAGTACCCCGAACGTATTCATCTGTTCCATGGTGATGAAACAAGTAATTCCAGCTACCCAAACGGGTAAAATTCCAACGACACATTTCAGCCTTTCCACCTGTTCAACATTACAGAGTCTCCAGCTATCTTTAGCAACTCCTTCAGTATTCAATTCATTGTTAGGATCAACAATCACCGCGGCCTTATCAAGGAACTTGAATCTGTCCGTGTGCTTAAGCACCGATAGCTCGTTTTCTGATTCTCTGGTGGAAGGATCATAAAGGGAACTTGCTGTTGGTAGATCATGAATGTGTCTTTTTCTGCAAGCTGCATTTATAACCTTTGCCATATCGATAAATACACATCCTTGAGGCTTCAAGCGGATATAAGAGTTGCGACCAATCAAGAAAATCACAATGGAAAAGGCTAAACAGCAAGTTGGAATCAGGAAGCCAATAAACCAGCTGATATTGGTCTGGATATAGATAACAACTGTGAGGGCAATTATAAGGGCTATAGTGAATGAGAAGTACCACCAATTGAAGAAACTTTTGAGCTGAGACCTTCCTTTTTCTGTATTAGTATCGAATTGATCAGCCCCAAATGCGATGTTGCAGGCTCGAATACCTCCTGAACCTATAGCCATAAATCCAAGACCTGCAAAAAGGTAAGCAAGCTGCCATTTTTGTGGATCTTCACAACGCGCATTTCCCTGACAATGAGGTGGCCTGAGTTCGTCGATTCCAGCTGTTAATGTCACCATCCCCATCCCCTGCCAAAAAAGACAGAATTCGGGGCTTTCAAGCATGCTATTTACTATAAATCTTTTTTATCCTGTAATCAACCAAGAAAACCCTCTCAAAAATCACCAAATATTCCTATTTTCTATTATAATTTATACCAATCAAATCCATTCGAAAGGATTTGAAATCAACAAGAGAAAAAGTGTGTGGACCTGACTTATTGAATCATGACTATATTCGATAAAGATGAAATTGGACTCCTCAAGAATTTGTTGATATTTCCGATTAAATCTTTTGGTTACTAGATTTTCATTCGTAATGATTGTAATCCCTTTCATCTATAGAAAAACATGTATTCTTTTGACCCCTGTTTAGGACAACATACTTGCTACTATATAGACTCTCATTTAAATAGAGACTTGAGCCATATTGCACTCGAATAATCGGTAAATTGCACGAATAAAAAAAGGGAAATTAGAGATGAGGAAGAATAAAAGTACCAGGAAAGAAGCAAGGGAACCAAAAAGTAGAGTGAGGAACCTGCCAAGGTGAGCATCAGCCAAGAAGGCACCAGCTATAGGGGTAATATTGGAGCAGCCAGACCATATACTCACCACATTCACCAAAAATACACCCCCCATATTATATTTGGTTCGCAAATATGTAGTCATGTTCGATATCAAACTAACTGACGCCAATTTCTCAAACGATTCATTCCCTTCACAAACAACAATTAACATATCAACAACACATTCATCATTACACATACATTTATTTTGGTTAAAAATAGTATGTGTTGTTTTTCGTGGTTACCAAGAATGAAGGCAATGGCTGTCCATCCTCCTTTTTTTCTTGCGGAACATTTTGGAGCAATATTTTGCTCTTCTTCTTCGGAGGAGGATGAATGACTTGCATTGATAATCTCATCAGCCATTTCTCCTCCTCTCTATATGTTATTATCAAATTGCAAACAATCAAGATGTTGCTTCTTTCAACTTCATGTGGTGATCAAAATGTGTTTTGTAGAAATAAATTAGGAGAAAAGGTAACCGACGATCTTTTCAGCATGCATTCAATGAGAAGAGAGAGAGAAAAGGGGAGGATTGAATTGGATTTAATGGCATACATATATTGCATTCCCAAATTTGTGGGATATGCCTGGTTATTCTTTTTTTTCTCTTCAGAAAGAAAGATAAAATAAACACAATAATATTAATATAATTATTTATTAACAAAATACTAGTACTGGAAAAATTAAATATTACTATCATGATATTAAAGTAAAATAACTTAGTTGGAGCTCTGACTAAATTTAAATCGCATTATAGGGTTCGAATGGAATTCTATTCGGGTTTTTTCAGAGCTAGAGCTTGAAACCAAAATCTCTTATTAATAGTAGAGTTGAGTTATCTCAACACTGCACCATAACCTGAAATGTTTTTCCAAAATTAAATAAACCTATCTCTAATTAATTAAAAAATACATAAATTTGTAAAAATAGATAATACCAGCAAGTTTTAAAATTAAAGACAACAAAAAGGATAATTATAAAAAGTTGACATAGACAAGATTGGAGTTCATACGGTTTAAATGTCTGAAGACTGATTAGTGAAGCCACCTTTTTTTTTTCTTAGTGATCTTACTACTTGATCTAAGAGTTTCTTTCTATTTGAACTTGTCTTCCTTATAGATATATTTTTTTAATAATTCGAAGTTGCTTGTGATTATTTTTAGTGATTGCAACTATTTTGCTTGAGAAGAAAATAAAAGATTCATATGTTTTGACAAGTGGCCAGCTTAGTTGTCAAAAAGTTCTCATGCATGCTGACAGGTTTTCTTTCACTTGCCATCGTTATTTTAGTGGGTCATATTATATCCTATCTCTTAAGAAACAATTTGTCAAATTTTTGTTTTAACTAATTTTTTTTTTTTTAGTGGGTCATATTATATAGCCTTTTCTAATTTTTATTTTTATTCTAACTAAAAGAAAAGGCTTACCGTAGGTTTATCCAATGGGGGAAAATGGTTTGTGGACACATATTTTAATCACGGACTATATATGTTGTTTTAGTTAAATTGAGCGTATCTTTTACGGCATTTATATACCGATTTCATGCAGGTAAAAAATATTCTTAAAGATTATAAATATATGAATTATAATATACTAATAAAATAAATATACAATGAAAAAAGATTACATGTAAATATATTAGTAATATAAATAAAATAGTCTAACACATCTCCTAATTAATTTTTTTTTTTAATGGGCGTATAAATGAAAACTTTCATTTGATTGGTCAGCAGAATCATGTCATTTGCACACTTGTAACGTTGAGATTAATTTTTAATTTGTTTAGACATGCTACATTTCTTGATACGTGGCATTAGCCATTTTGATCTTTAGGCTAGTGAAATGGGCTCATCGTCTTAAGTTCACTAGCATTGGCTAACCCAAATGAAGCTGGACCTTAATTTGGATTTGATATTTTTTTGAACTTTGGAATATATCCAAATTTAATTATATGGATACTCATAAGAGTGTGTAATCATGTAAAATTTATATCAAATTTACTTGTTTAACTTTATAATAATTTAAATGTTTATTTGTTACATTCATTTATTTACACAGTATATTCTCTTTTCAAATCTTCATATTTCCAACTTTTTTTTTTTTGTATGATATTCTAAACATGAGTGTCCTATGTCCCACTTTAAATGGGTTGGTGTACATTTAGCTCACAAAGGTGACTACAATAGGTCATCAGATGTTCAAATTTTGCTCAGACTTTGGGCAGTGCAAATATATGTCCTTTTCCCAACAACAACATCTCCCCATCGCATATTCTTTATCGTCCCATACACGACCACATTTTTTTCTTCAAATAGCTAGCGAGTACCTTAAATTTCAACAAATAAGAGCGTAAGTCCAACTATTACAAGTACTCTTTTTTTTTTCTTTTTTGAATTCTCCACTGGTGTCTGGACAACGGTTCTTCTCTCTTTTTCTTTTTTTCTTTCTTTCTATTATACACAACTTTCTAGACTACTTTCAAAGTAAAGTCTTCTCTTTTTCAAAATACACACCCGCCCCCCTCTTCCTCTTTTTCTCACTTCGTGCTTGAAATTTCATTATTATGGATTTTCCATCTGTAAGAACTGTAATCATACCAATTGTTTCTATCAAAACCCCACCATTTTAGCTTTACTCTTTTTTTTTTCAAGATCTGTATTGATTATTGAACTTGCTACTACTCCACATTGCACTTGATACTTCTAGTCCAAACAGAAAAAGTAAGCTCAAATCTGCATTTTTCATCGAGAAATCGAAATGGGTGTCTGGGAGTCGATGGTTTTGGGACTATTTACAATGACCATTTTCAGTAGAAGCTGTTTTTCACTAACCCCAGATGGTAAAGTTTACTTCTTTGTCTAAGGTTTTCAGCATTGTATGTTATTCTTGAGCTAAAAAGATTCTACTTTTTTAGGTTCTGCTTTGTTGGAAATGAGAACCCTTTTGAATGACACTAAAAATGTTTTGAGCAACTGGAATGATTCGGATGAGTCGCCTTGTAGGTGGACTGGCATTTCTTGCTATCCTAATGACCAAAGAGTTCAATCTATGTATGTTCAATTCACTTTTTTTGTTTTCACTATCAGTGCTTTATTCACTTTGTTTAGTTCTGTTTGCTTGGATTCATTTTCTGCATTTTGTTTTTGAATTTTCAGCAACTTACCTTATATGGAACTTGGAGGAATTATATCTCCTAGCGTTGGTAAACTCACCAGATTGCAGAGATTGTAAGTCCCATAGTCATTGAGGCAATGCAACAAAATTGTATTAGGGCTAAAGTTTCTGTCTTGCTACTTGGCTTGATAAACTATGTGTTCTTTCCTAAAACCAGGGCACTTCACCAAAACAGTCTGCACGGTGTGATTCCTAATGAGATTGGCAATTGCCCTGAACTCAGAGCTATGTAAGTAGGAGTTTCATATATAACTGAGTGATAACATGTTTTCTTGGAGATTCCACATGTTTCTTGATGAATTTGTCACAAGCTAGGCATTATTTATGCGTACAGATACCTCAGGGCGAATTTTCTTCAAGGAGGCATACCATCAGATATTGGAAATCTTTCAATACTGACCATATTGTGAGATATATATATTTTTTAATTCACCATCTTATTATATGGTTAATGAGGTTGTTGTTTTAATGATTGGTACCTTTTAATCCTTTTTAGAGATTTATCAAGCAATTCACTTAGGGGTGCTATACCTTCTTCTCTTGGTCGTCTCAGACATCTTCGTCTTCTGTAAGTCCAATTTCTGTTCATTGTAAATTTTTAATTTGATAACTTAATGCATTACACACTGATGTGTTAAACATGAAAATCAATTCAGGAACTTGTCAGCCAATTTCTTCTCGGGTGAGATCCCAGATGTTGGAATACTGAGCACTTTTGGTAACGATTCGTAAGTTCTCCTTCCATTGGAATATAATCCCACATTTGATTTTGCCCTCTGTGTTCATCATTTTCTATATACTGTAAATAAATTTAGATGGTTCAAAACTCAGAAAATACAATTTATTGTGAATAATGCTTCACATTATATTGACAGAAGTGCAGCAAAATATTCACATTCCATTTAGCACTACAATCACACTTATAGGAAATACAATACAAGATAAATCAGGTCTTTGCACACCAGTTTTCTGGTGATTAACTGCTGTTTGCTGCATAGGCTAGATTTGTGGCAGTGTTACAATGACACCCAGCAAATACAAACTAAGCAGAATACCCATCAAAAGATCGATGTATTAACATCACAAGTGCAGTTGAGATTTTTTACAACTGAACAAACCGAATCTATCAATTGATAGTCCTTTAATCATGATCCTAGAAGTTAAATACCATGTGATAATTGAGATGGGAACTACACTAGCAAATTGATGGTGCTTCAATTTTAAAGATGGTGATTAATTTGTAAGTATACCTGACTTAAATTTATGGTACTCCAATCATGCAGTATGTGTTGCATATGTTGAGATAGACTTTTTGGTGTTAAATTGCCTAGTGGGTGATTGGCTGCTACATAGTTGAAACTAGGAATCTAGTCCTGTATCATGAACAGTTTTACTTGTGTACCTTGCAAAAATTATTCTTCCCCATCATCTCTAAAGGGAATTTGAAGCTTGATGCTCTCAAAGTCTCAAATAGTAAAGCTTATAAAGTATTTTCAAATGTCACAAGGGTAAGAATGTATGTGACGGGTCAATTCACGTAGGTTTCTTTCTGGAGTAAATTCTTAGTCATCCATTGGTAAGGGTGTTGCATCACCAACACTAGCTAGAAACAACTTGTTTAACTGGAGTCTCGTGAACTGACCTGCCGTTTACCTTTCTTCTTCATAGTCTTGGGAGATAATATTTTCAGTGTTAAATTTTTCTATTAATGGCTATCTTATAGCAGACTATTCTGACGAGGATAATGCTTATGCTTAGGTTTATTGGCAATTTAGATCTCTGTGGTCAACAAGTCCGCAAGCCTTGCAGAACATCTATGGGATTCCCTGTAGTATTGCCTCATGCTGAAAGCGATGAAGCTGCAGGTTGTTATTTGCTACTGCTTCATATCTATTTCCTTTTAGAAGTTTACTGGCTTTTGGAACTTCCCTTTCCTCCACCAACTTACTGGCTTTTGGAACTTCCCTTTCCTCCACCAACTGAATCTATTTTTTTTCTCCTTTACTTCTATGTAGAAAGCTTGATTTGTTGCTAAATTAATGTGATTTCTGCAGTCCCTACGAAGCGATCCTCTCACTATATTAGAGCAGCAGTTATTGGTGCAATATCAACATTGGGTTTTGTACTCATTGTGTTCTTTATTTTCCTCTGGGTTTGGTTGTTATCTAAGAAGGAAAGGACAGCAAAAAAATACACAGAAGTCAAGAAACAAGTCCACAAAGAGCCAAGTAAGTGGGTGAATAGTACAATACCGTTTCTTTTCCTTCTCCCAATTTTTGTCTTAATTTGTCAAGGCTTCAGGTGCCAAGCTTA